CGCGGGTGTGAGGGTTTAAAAATACGTGTGTGTGTTTCACGTTGTCACCATTTTGTAACAATCATCCAATCATCACACACACACAACACACACATGCGCGCGCGCACACACACACACCACACACACACACACATGAGATTATATTTATGTCTAGTTGCTATTCTTGAATTTTAATTTGAACGATAATTATAACAGGTTCACTGTTTGTTGGATGCGTTGGGATTGGTTGTTATGTTGATTACTTGTTTTGTTTGTGTTTATATTTGTTTGTTTATTTGTTTGTCTGTTTGTTGCTTGTTTGCAGTCTTGTATTCTGGTATTTGGCAACTTACAAAATATATTGATGGAAGTTATTGGAGTGCATAAATGCAGACATGCACACATAACCACTTTACTTGCCATTTAATTATCTTTTTTAATATATTTTAAACAATTTCAAAATATTTTAAAATACATTTTTAGTCAAAATTTTCAAAACAAACTTGTACTGTAAATTGACCAAATGTCACGCGAATTCAAATGAGGTTGTTCAGGTATTAACATTATTTAAAATTTTATTAATTCAAATATGAGAAGAGCAGATGTTGTTTGGAAGATGCAAATTGAAACTGAATCATAAAAACGATCGCTTGGTTAACAATTTTTGTTTTTTGAAAAACATTCCATATTAATTTTTTCATAATATATAATTATATTTTTCTGAAATACGCAGCGTTAGTATATATTTAAACAAGTTTAATCTAAGCCCTGATATTTAAAATAATTATGTAGAAATAAGTAATTGGCGTAGTGGTGAACCAAACAATAAGGGTGGCAATGAGGATTTTTTGGAGCTCCATAATCATATATCGGAAAAATTTGAATTCAATGATGTTCCTGGCAATTTCGACCGTTGTCCAATTTGTCAATTCGATGGATAAAAAACAGAATTTGACGCATGACATTTGAAATGCAATTGAAACATTATTAACTAAAACGGAATAAAATTAAATTTCATCAAAACTTTTAGAGCGTGTTAGAATTTGAAATTTTTTTATTTTACAAACAATATTGATGAATAATTAAATTAATTATCATTAATAATCGAAAAAATAATATATAATTGTCAGCTTTCGCTCTCAAATTGTATATAAAAAACAACAAGATGATTGATTTTCAAATTTCACTTACTCTTGAAACTGAACAGCCAAACACAAAGTCATATAATATTGAAAGCAGCCAATGTCTAAAATGTTAATAACTCAAATTTTTAACGTTCATTTATGACTATATAACGCTAAATAAAGCAACCAACATAACGCAATGCATTCAACGCAAATCACAGCTATAACGTTGATCAAACAAATTCACAACATTAATTTCAAAGTGACAACACTAACATTCAACTGGCTCAACTAAAACAACAACGAACAACGTGCCCGCCTGCACACCTGTTGTACGGCTCTCCACTACTTTCACAGCTAGACTTTCCACATAACATTCGTATCTGCACACATACCTGAATCAAATATATATACATACAGTTCGTTTATCACAATTCAAGTGCATATATCACCCTATATATTATAAAATTTGAAGTTGATCTTAAGTATGAAATTAATTAAGATTCGCTTGTGTACTTTAGCCTCGTATTTCAATACTTATTAGAAGATCTCTCCATAAAGATGTTTGGTGCATGCATTTGTTCGTTCACGTTTCGATTTCTGCAATTGTTTGTGTTTTGGTCTGCCAGCGAAATTTATAAAAAAAATTCAGTTAATTTAAAATCGTGCTGTCCAAGTTTGATCCAAATTTCTAAAAATTTATTTGATTTAAAATTTCATTTGCTACTTTGATGTTTTATGATCATATAGCTTCTTTTTTTTCTTTTTTTCTTTCATTCTTTCCTTCTTCCTTTTTTCTTTCTTCTTTCTTTCAGCTAGGAGTGTTGTAGGTGCTTCCAAGTATGATCACGGCTCTCAAATTTCGGTTGAATTGTATTGGCCGATTGTAATGAAACTAGAATTAAATAATTAAGTAATTAAGTAAGCACTTAATCACTTAATTAATTATAAAATTTTTACGTCTGCAGAGATTCCCGGCCACATGGCATTCCATAATTATTTAAAATGTTAATAAAAAATATGTATACACTGATATAGTCGTTTTAATCAATATTCACTAATCCGAAAAGATGATATATAAGGAAGATAATTAAACTGAAAAATAATGAAATAATATACTAATTTAAACGTTTTAATCTAATAATGTTTGTAATGAACCCGACGAAACACGCTAAGATATTATAAAATCACGTAAAGCACATGAAATGTTTATTTAACGCTCTGAATGTTGAAAATGTAACTGCATTCGTTGCTTATGTTACTAGAAATGTAACCAATTCCTTGCTCTTTCTGGAGCGCCTTCAAGTTACTTGACAACGTGAACAAACATAAACGTTATTACTGCACATCAACGTCCAACAGCCAACAAAAAATGTCATTGAAAAAGTTTTAAAATAAAAAAATATTGAAAATTGAAAATTAAAAAAGTTAAGTTAATTAGAAAAGTTTATCTCTCATTTATATATCATTCACACTGTTCGCTAGATTGGTCAGTAATTAACAAATTACTACTACTAGCAATGAAATAATTTAGAGGAGTTGAAGATATGATGTGGATAGCATGTTGAAATAAGCTCCTCACACGTCACGCTTAATCATCATCCTGCTGTAAGTGGCGGGTAGGAATGCATAACGGAAATCAACGGAACCGTACGGACCATTTAGGTTTTGATAATAGCACTTGTTGAACCAATTGCCTGATGAATACTTCAAAGCACAACTGTGGTTGACATATTGGTCGTTATCCTGGTCGGGTGTGGAGAACTTCATGCCGTTGTGGAAGTAGGCAGTTTGATAGTTCAGAATGTCATCCTTACTTCCGCTGTATCCAGATACGTTGAGAGAATATTTTTCAGGTTTGGAATTTGTCTAGATTATTTACAAATGTTATGTTTGTTAATAAGAATCATTTTCAACAGACGTTTATGCACCAACAAGTAAACCAAATTAATTTTTAGAGATGAGAAAGTTGAAAAAAAATTAAAAATCGATTCAAAAATGTTTCAATAAATAAAAAAATAATATTCTATCATTTCAATTAGTATTCACTTCGGTGATTTGTACGTTGCAAAGTAGCTAACCTTGAAATGATCGTATTCATCAGAGTACCAAACTCCATTGATTAGAACTTCGAATCTCAAGCTGTAATCAGCCGATTTCGTTAATTGGTGCATCTTCTCCAGGCCCAACCAGAAGTTTTTATAGTGATTTCCAAATCCTGTCTAACAATAATTAATTTTAAAGGTTCAAGGTCAATCTCTCTTTTGCTTTTGCTTTTGAAGTATCAAGGACAAACACACACAACGCATATGAAAATCACGCATCACACACATTGCATATAATAGACTGGAATCTATTTGTATTCGAACCCTGTTACTGCATCAGCTGGACCAGGCGCCTCTAACCATTGAGCCATCACGCCGCATATTCATGTCATGAGTATGTTTAAAAAACTTCAAAAAATACCTTGTACGCATTCCAGGATTGATTGAAACTCAGCGAGCCATCAACCCTCTGCTGAATGACAATCCATCCATTGACAGACGTAACAGGAGTTGAGTTAGCAAACGTTGGAATTTTCAACAAAATTGTTTCGTTTGCAGCAACGTATACTTTCATGCGTTGAAATTATAAATATTTTCGTCCAATTATTCAAACGAGAAAAATATTTTACAAAATTCAGTTTAATCACTCGTAAGAAAAATTGGGGGTCTTGGGGTCGAGTGGTTAGCGTGTCCGTCTACCACTCCTACGACCCGGATTCGAATCCTGTAATTTTTACAGGTTTATCCGGGTTGCCGACCCCCGGCCAGCCTAGCCGTCTATCCTTTCGAGGCTGGTAAATGGGTAGACGACGTAAGTTGTCGCATGTTGGCCGGCGAGGTGGCTCAGTGGTTCGAATGCTCACTGAGTCAAACATCTCAATGGCTATCATATACTCAGCATATATGAAGCGGTGCTTGCGCGTGCACATAAATACATGTGTACGTTGTGCAAAAAGGATAAGCAGCCTTTGTGGCAAAGATGGCCGCTTCAAATCAATGGCTGAAGATATGAAGAACATAATCTATATATGCAACATTGTAAATGGTTCTGCGTATGAAAATAAAGACTAAAAAAAAATCTGACAAATTTGACTAATAAAGTCTATAATCAATATAATAGATCAACTACCTCGAGGGTCAGGACAGATGGACAACTGCCTGCTACCAGTGAGACACATGTAGAGAGCACAAGGATTGCTGATGCCAGGTAGTGAGTTGGAACAAGAGTAGAACAATCCACCGTTGAAGGTGAATGGAAAGTTGCAGGATTTGCTCAGGTTCAGCGAGTTATTAGTTACTGGCAAACCGATTTTGTTAGTTAATAAAAAATCTTTTACTAAGTTTTTGGCATAAATTATCTGGTTAGAAAGCATTATACATTTCTTCACATCAATTGTCATTATTTTTTTCCTATAAATAAAACTAAACTCCAATGTAAAAAAAAACATCGATTCAAAAGTCCGCTTAAATGTTATCCTATACTCAATTGCGTACAATTATTAATTACAAATTTCAATGTTGTATTGTGAGGAGTTTTCATTTAAAACAAAGTTATTGTTCAAGTTAATCATGGCAGCCCTTGAAAACGTCTTCATTGCCTACTCTTCTTACTTTTACATCAAACAACATTATTTTATGAAATTTGATGCTTTCGTTTAGCTATATCCAGTTTTTTTCCTTCCTAATATTAAAAATGTTACCAAAAATAAAAAACAGTGAAAATTGATCGGTTTGTAGGCCTCTAAAAGTAAATGCTTCTTATCTAACGCTTGCAGTTTTTTTTCCGATGTTACATAAATTTGTTATTCCTCCATGTGCCTTAATATAAGTGTTATAAGCTAGAGGCATTGAAGGGATAGTGATTTTTGCAGCGTTCAAACCAGGTTGGTGAGAGAAAATCCACTAAGTTAAAAATTGATCTGGAAAATATATTTCAAACTTTTTTAATAATTGCGGTGAGTAAATTTGCAGAAAACGCTTCTTTCGTTGAACGGTTGAATAAAAAAGTTGAATATGTGAAAAGATTTTTTTTTATTATTTTTATTTGTATTGTTTGTTATATGAAATTTAAAGTAAATTTAACTTAAAAAATCAAATTATTTGTTAACAATTTAGAACTTTAGCCTGATTTTCATTAGTTTTTAATAAATTGTAAAAAGATATAGAATCTATTTAAAAATTATAAATGTTGTTTTTTTTTATAATAAATTAATTGTAAAAAGCTAGTGAATTTTATTTGCACTTTTGAAAATATGACGTCGGTTATAAATCCCTAGTTTAATATTACAAAATAATAATAAAAAAAACAAAACTAACAAATTGGCGGAGTTGGACTGCCGTTCAGTGGTGCTGGTTGAGAGAATTAACGCTAATTAGATTGCGATTATACAAAAAACCATCGACTAACTTAATGCTTCTTTAGCTGCAACGTCCTATGTTTTTTTTTGTTATTGAATTTAATATTAGTTTAATTAAAACAAACAATTTTTTTTTAATTAAAAATGAACTGACTTCGTAAGCGAGGCAATAAGATTCGTTCAAAACAATCTTGTAATGAACATCGCAAGTGAAATGAAACAGTTGGCAATATTTAGCTGGGTGTCTGGCATTGTTGGATATGTAGTTGAATGCGTTGCACGTGGTGTTGTTAACACATTCAATAGAACATTCCAAAACAGATCTTATGTTGGTTAGTACGGTGGTAGGTTCGGAAAAAAAGCACCTGGGACTGTCTGGCTCTCCTTTCGTTCTATATTTCTTACCAGCTACTGATGCTACCGAGTTGACTGATGATGATGTGATCACCATAAAACAAATTATGGACCACTTCATATTTTAACAATAAATTTCAACCTATTAATTAAAATTAGTTATTTCAATTTTTTCGAAATATCTTTCAAAATATTGTTAATACTTGTATGATTCGTGTTTAATTTTACAAAACTTTGTAACTCCCTCTGCTTCTTATACTAAGAAATGGCTTTAAGAAACATCTTTCGAACAATACGTGAAGCGCATATGACCGTCAGTAAAAGACAAACCATTTGTTGGTACTTCGTTGAATGAAGTTTTAAAAATTTGATGTACATATTCCCACCAAACATTTACCTCAGCCTGCACGCCTGTGTTCATTAATTAGCTGGCTGGTGATTAAAACAACCGTCGAATTCAGTGCAAGTTGCTAATGATAAGGAAGGTCGGATGTGGGTAAAACAACTGACAAACAAAATAGCATAAACTAAAACGGCAATGATGATAATGATATGATGATGATGATGATGATGAGGATGATGATGATAACAGTGGCGTACCGGGGGTGGGGTGATAGAGGTGACCACTCAGAACAACAGGGTGTAGGAACGGAAAAATTCACTTTACTTTATTTTAAGGGTTCTTTGATAACAACGTTTCACAAGGATTTGTACATGAAAAATCGTGTTAACTTTCGCCACTGCTACAACAACTTTCGCCACTTCAACAACTACTACCTCAAACTCCACATCGCAACAACCACAACACTATCGCACTGACTCCTAAAATAATTTGCACAACGTTCACCATAACAAATAATTTCATTCAATCATTCTTTTTCTTCTTCTTCTTATTATTATTTTATTTTTTTAAATATAACTATGTATAAGCTGAAAAAGGACTGTTATTGGCGTGAGGTTTAAAAATTTTAATTACTGAACAACAACGGACTGAACTGAAACGCCCCTCACCTGTGTTTGTGTGTTTTTGTTGAATAGTAATTTGCAGACACACACAGAAACTCACACACACAAACAAACACACACACATAATACTTATATATATATATATATATATTTATATATTTATGTATATATACACACAAACACACGTTAACTTCAGGTGCTTTTCACGCAGTTTTTGTGTAGATGACGACTGTACAGATGGCATTATTGAAAATGTTGATGAATGCGTTGCCATGATGATGAAAACGATGATGATGAAGTTCATGTTGATGATTGCAAAGATGATATTCAGGTTGACAGTGATGTGGATGATGATTAGTTATAAGAAATATTTGAACCAGCTTGTTCAAAACAGGCAGCGGTGTTGTCCATTGAAGCAAGAAGTACAGCCTGCCAGAGTTGCTTTCATGGGGCTTAAGGAGCACTGAATGATTAAAAGTTATCTTCATCTACAAATTAACTACCATAGAAAAATTTCCATTACAACTCTACGTCTATTTTTTATCATGTATGTATGTATTTTTTGTATGTAGTGTATTGGCAATATTTAGCTGGGTGACTAATGTGGTTAATATAGTTAATGTAGACTAACGCTAACCCTAACTCCCTCTGCTTCTCATACTAAGAAATGGCTTCAAGAAACATCTTTTGAACAATGAGTGAAGCGCATAAGACCGTCAGACCAACAGTGCCAGCCACTTAACCATTACACCAATGCGTCGTGTACCATATAGATTTGATACTTCATGAACAGGTGGTCAATATTTTCATAAGGTTGAAACATTAATAAGTGATATTTCAGAGAAACTAACTTCATAGCTAAATCATCGTCGTCATCATCATTATTATTATTATACAAACTTAATCGAACCTCGTAACATTCAGAGACCATGAAAACACTACTTAAGCGATAGCTAATGATGACGACGATGAAGAAGAAGAAGATGATAATGAGCATGAAGATGAGGATGAAGAAGTGATGATAATGGATTATTATGTAGATGCTTTGTTCAGCATCATTATGTTGATTGTGTATTTATTTGTTTGAAGGCTATATGTCAGGCTGGTGTTTGCTCAGATGTCGCAACGATGCTTTCGCTGTTTAGCTGCGTCGAACGTTGCATCTACATAACAAGCCATCCTATCTTCCCAACAACTTAATTGTAGTGCACATTTGAAGTTGTTGGGTAGCCAGGATCGCTTGTTAGTTGTCCAAGCACGAACCTGATCGTTAAGTTATACATTGCAAAAGTGGTGTAAATTTAATTTGGTTATATTGGTTATGATATAAAATTTGACAATAAATCTTATAAAGCATGTCTTATAATGATGAATAATCAAATTCATATAAAAAATAAGCAAAAAATGTTCCGGTTTCTACCGGAATCGAACCCGGTTGT